CTGAATTCCTCAGACTACTGGGAAAACTGCCAACAGAAAATCTTGCCCCTTAACCATCAGGTGAATCTAGGCATTGTTTACTAAAATTCCACTATTTTTTGAAACAAAGAATCTTCTTAGCTGTTGTTTTCAGTTTAGGATGTGTGATAATAATGAGAACAGAATGTCCTGGAGAGTAAAGGGTGGCAAAAATCACACAAATGAATTTGGCCCCCATACCCATCCCTACATAAAAGGGGAGATAATGGAGCAGTGTAGCAACTGAATACGGAATGTAGAGGATGAGGAAATAGATCATCAGCTTCATAGCACCTACATGAGCTTCCATCTGGGGATTCCAGAAACCAGTGGCATTTCTCTGCATCTTCTGTATATGCCTCCTCAAGGAGTATATTAGCAAGGAAGCCGAAGTCACATTAATGATGAACTGGAGAAATGAGCTCAAGAAGAAAGAGGCCGCTAAAGACAAGATGCCATCATTGACATTAAATGATGTGTCATTTCTCTTAGTCACAAGTTCAGGAACAGGTGATGTCAGGCTAAGTATGATGTACAGGAAAGTGGTGAAAGCAGAAATCAGCACAGAGGCCAGCAGCAGCCTGGGAGTCTTTGGGGAGATATTCCGCTTCAGCAGGAGAAACACTGAGTGTTGGAAGTTAGTAATCTTCACACAGTACAAGCTGTTGAGCAAGGTCACAAACCAGACACTGGTTGAGTCCAAAAACATCCAACACAACAGAAAAAAGGCGGATAGGTAGACTGACCTTCCAGTATTTGAAGACATGACATAGATGGTGTTCAGCAGAAGTAGTCCCAGCAGAAGAAACCTGGTGATGCCCAAGCTGAACAGGATCCTATCAGAAGAGGAGATTCTGTGGCTTTTGACCCAAGTTTTGCAACTGACCACTGTAATAAACAGACTCATAATGATTCCTACAAAATTTAAAATAAGTGAGGCAACAGTGGCAGATAAATAAAGTAACTCCTGCATCTTTACTCATTGAGGAGTCAGCAGTTATGGTGCTGATAGTGGAGGCAGGAGAAATACCGAAATGTACAAGCAGATGCCAATATCCAGCCAGGAAAGACATCTCCTTTTTAATTTTTCCCCAGCGTGGCAAATGAGCCATCCATGATCTAAGGGCCAGCTGCTTTTACTGAGATGCAAATCTTCCGAGGATTGCATTACTATTTCTTCATTTGTATCCTATTCTCCTTAGAAATGTCTAATTACAACAAGCCTAGGTGATCCCAGGAGTCACTCCAAGAGCAGAAGGGCGAGAGGGAAGAGTCACAGCAGGCTCCAAAAACTAAGAATCCAAATCGGAGAGCTCTAGTCCAACCGTGTTTCTGTCACTGCTTCACAGTAAAGTGTTTCTTCCTAAATACGCCAGAATATGGTGGAAATCCTCATTCCTCACTCCTACCCATCCACCTCCTAGCCACACAATCATGGATGACGAGATCCTAATTTCTCTCCCCTGTCTAATCTGTTGCTGCCATAACCAGTTTCTCCAACTGTAATTCTGGCCATGCCAATGCCACTCTTTCACTTTGGCACCTATAGTGATTTACAGTGATCTAATAGATCAAGATCAAAGACCCAATACCTCCCTGAGGAAACCTTTCTCAATTAATCCCATCCTTTCATGATGGTTCCTTTGTTTTGCATTCTCTATCTACATACATAGATTTGTGCCATAACCATTTGCTGTGTTCTAGTTTTTCTTAGAAAAAATTAAGTCAGCCCTTGTGGGTGTTTCCTTTATAAATCTGGATTTATATTTAGATCACATGTGGCTGTTTTCTCTTAGGCACTTAACTGTCAGTCCAGGCACCCTGGAATGAGATACACCGTAATACATTAATTGTAACTTTATGAGCCAAATAGCTAGGCATCTCATTGCTGGATTTCTCTGTACTTGCTCAGATGGGATATGGCACAATATCCCTGGCAAAGGATATTATGGAGGGTCATAGGTGAGTGCAAGAATATAGCATCTCTTACCTACTCTAGCAGTTGAATGAAACCAAGATATAATCCTGGATGCAGCTACATATGTTACCAAACCAGCATCAAGGTACAGGACAAAGTCCTACTGCCAAGTCCAAATAGAAATAGGCAAGAAAAAGGAGCTAAGATAAAATGATAATCAGGTCCAGAAAAGGGGAATAAATTCATGAGGCCCTTTAAGACAGATGACAGGAAGGCAAGCCTGGAGAAATTTTCTGACCTGGTGCCCAGGTGCTTACAGAAGCTCTTTATTCAAAACTAATAAGCACTGATAAGAGGCATGCCCACATCAGTTACACAGGCAAACAGAATGAGACTATGACTAAAAGGAAAATTATAGCACAGAGTTCTAATTAATTATCCATAAAATAGATGGTTGCATTAAAGTAATGATGTTGAAATATTACTAACATCACATTTGAATAGAATAAATAATATAGAGTAAGCCACAAGAAATAAGTGTGGCCAAAAGAGCAGGAATCCCAGAATTGATAGTAACAGTCTCTATCCAGAATGTAATATACCAAACTGTTGGGTTCTTTGTAGGAGGAAGTGCTATAATTAAGATGTGATAAGGTTAGCTAGCACAATCAATGAATGAACTCATTCAGTTAGAAGTTATTTCTGCAAGGGTCGATATAGAAAAAGTATTAACAGAACCCTTTCTCCCTCTGAAAGAGAATTTGACCTACAAGTAAACTTTCTCTCTCTCTTTTTTTTTTTTTAATCAACCTGATAAGGCCAAAATTGCCTGGTGGAGGATTCCCATGTATATCAGCAAAATAGACCTGCCTTAGTGCTCCACAGTGCTCCACCACTGGCTGGGAGGAAATGTGGCCCCCTGGCAGGAAATGTGGCCTCATGGTAGTGGATCTCCAAAGCTAGCACCGTCAGCCAGTTGTGCCTCCACAGCAGAGATCTGAGCACACATTTTCATGGCTGCCACAAAAAAGATCTAGAGAGAAGGATCACCTGCATCATCAGGACCCTCAAGATAGGATTATCCCTTTGTTGTACCTGAAGCATCTGTTCCAGTGATCAGAAATTAAACACTTGTGTCTGTGTCTTTATTACCCACTAAATGTAATGTTTTTGAGAACAGGAACAGCGTTCAAGGAACAAGCATCTCATACAGTGTCTCACACAATGCTTGGTGCACAATAAGTATTAAATAAATGTTTATGAGAGGAAGGAATGAACTGGAATCAAGGGTAGCCAGAATCAAAATTAAGCAATAAATGTATTCATTCCTGGAATATCACAGCAACATCCAGACACTTGCCAGAACTCATCCGTTTCTCAAAGGGATCTGCTAGCTAGGCAATAAGGGGAGAAGCCTGAAAAGCCAAGGACAATTCAGAAATCTTTCTTCTCTGGCTATGAACACCCTGTCTGGCCACAAATGGAAACTGAGGCTAGACAGAACATGGCCAGGAAACTCCACTCAAGAATTGAAATTATGTATTTCAGAGTTAACCTGGAAATGTTGCCTAGACCATTGGCCCAGCTCCACCAAGTCACAATGACAATTTATAGTGGGGCCAACAAAATGTACTACTCTGCAAGCTCAAATGTATTGTGAACAAGTCAGTTCTTTAGTTTATCTAGCAGTAATAGGATTTTTCTCCTGAGCCCCCACCTGCTGGCTGGGGATGTGTTTGCCAATGGGCTAATGCACACTGTGCAGACCAAAGGGTGTTTTATTCCTGTCATTTTAGAAATGAAGATGTAAATCCGAACAACCCTAAAATTAACTTCTGGTTACGTATGTCCAATCACGTAATGTAATACTCCTTTTATTATGTCAAAATAGGCTCCTTTTCACCAAAGAACAACAGCAACAACGATAGCAGTTTTATTGTATATTTACTCCATGTAGTACTCTAAACACTTTTCATGTGTTAATTCACTCATTCCTTCCAACAACCTTATCCCAACACACACACTCACACACAGACACAATTACTATTTCTATTTCACAAGTGCAGAAAGTTAGAGACTGGTTAAGAAGTTTCCCCAAGGTCACCCAGTTCAAAAGGGCCAAAGCCAGATTTAAACACAAGTTGTGTGGTTTCAGGGTCCACATTCTTAGCCACAAACACTCCACTTCTGAAAGCCCGATTAGTGCTAGAAATCCACATTTCTGAATAATGCCATGTATCCTAAATGAATATGTTTACATATTTGAGAAGTCTTAAGGATATTAAGCAGTATCTTTTCATTGACATGTCAAAATTGTTAACAGGAATTAAATCAATGCCTAAATAAAATTGATTAAACTTATAAAATGTGCTCCTATTACATTTGATAAAACTGTAATTTTAAAACCAGGTAGGTATCTTGGTCAAAAACAAAAAATTAAAAATAAAACTAGCTGGTCTTTTGCCCAATCTTTTGCCCAAAAAAAATTACTTGAAAATGTACTTTAGCAGAATGATCATGAAATGCAAGATTGAATTGGAATCTAGAATCCAAAGGTTTTGATCTTCTTTCCACTGTTTTCATCATCATACAATGAGTTTTTAGAAACTGGAATCATTTAGAAATTGCCATTGCTGCACAATCCAATATTAGCTACAATAATGGCCTTCACTTACTGAGTACTTTACACAACACACTGTGCTAAAATAGCCAGTAGAGATCAGAACAGGGGATCAGGCAGATAATTGAAGTAACTCACCTGAGGCCAAAAATCTTGACCAGAATCAGAATTCAAAACCACATCTACAGGACTGTAAAACTTTTGCTCTTTCCTTCAAGACTGCTATGTAATTTTATGTGTATCACTGTTAGTATCTAATTTAAGTTGAAACTAGTAATCAGAGTCTCTACGTTGAGCTGATGATTTTTAAAATACAGCACCAGGTGTTTACAGTGAGAGTGCTCTCACAACATTGTTATTTCCAAAACACTACTATACTCCTGTACCCTCCCCACTCCACAACTACCATACAGAGAGAGGCCGTGAGAAGCGTGGCTTTTGCCTTGAAACAGGTCTCCAGGGACCAGAGGCAAAGCAGTCAGTGTTTCTCTCCTAGTGATGTTATGGAACTGGTACCATAGGAGGGTCTGGAAGAGTCCTGTAGTCTTGAGCCAGGCCACAAGGCTCACGGGCTCCACTCCATGCCTTTTGTTACTCTAAGAGAAAATGAGTCCCTTGGATCTGGGCTTCAGATGACCAGACTCACACCGGAGCAGCTCTACAAATGTCTGCTTCAGCTTGTTGTTCCCCAGAATGAGAATACATGAATGGACAGCAGGACAAAACATTGTAATTACTTCGCCAATCATCACAGCCACCTTGGGTTTTGGTAGGAAACGACTAGACGATGCAACTAAAAAGGCAAGAAAGTAAAGTAAGATGAGAAAAAAGAAGGAGAGGATGATTCTCATGGCCCTCTTGTGGGCTTCCGTGCTTGGATCTCTGGAGCTCATACCATTTTGCAGCATCTGCCGTCTGTGCTTCCCCAGGGAGAAGACAAGCAGAGAGTAGGTGGCCAAGGACACAATTAAGGGAGGCAGGTTCCACAAAGTCCCAAGAACATGGATCAGATAATACTCACTCATCTTCTTTCTGAAATGTTCAGTCATATTCCTGGTGCTCTCAATTCCCCTAAGGACAGAATAGAACTTAAACTCATTGGTCAGAGATATGGTACTACCACAGGATAAGAGCAGTGCACCCAACAGCATCCATACAATCACCCTAGAAACTCTCCACTTGAGCCAGAGGAATGTGGGGTGAGAGAAACTGGTGATTTTCAGGCAGTAGAAGACACCAAGACAGGTGGCAAGCCAAATGTTCAGATGGTTCATAAATGTCCAGAAAACATCAATAATTTGCATTGGTATCCCTGAATCATGTGCGTTGGGAAAGAATACCATTAAAAAACCATCAGTCAAGAGAATCCATAGCAGAATGATCCTCGAAAGTGCCAGGTTGGTGATGATGAAGTCAGACAAAGACATTTTCTTGGTCTTGAACCAGCTCCTACCATTGACCAACCCAATGAAACCATTCACCAGAATTCCCAGTGTAAATTGAATGCCACACAGAAACAGGAACACCCCCTCAGTGAGTCTCATCATGTCAGCAATTAGGCAGTCCTGACCTTTGTTCTTTCTATTGATATATAGCTTCTCCTCACTGATTTGATATTTTTCTCATAAATCTGCCCCCTACCTGTTGCTTCACTGTACCTGTCTCTTACCTCTGCCCAATTTAGTCTGTCGTAAAGCACAATTTAGGGAATCCTCTCTGGTTCTCTGGCTCTTTCAGGTTAGTCAGTCCTCTTCACAGATGATATATGAATTGTCACATTCCATCTATGATCCTAAACTTAGCAGCTCTTTGTTAAAATGCAAATGAGTAGTATCCAGTGTCACGTAGAGAAGGAAGAGATCTAGGTCACAAAGATGATGGAGGACTTGGACTCAATTTCAAAGAGTGTAGGGCTCTGAGCCACCCAAAACAGAAAGATGAGCAGCACCAAATGGAGGAGGCTCAGAATTAGAAAAGTCAAAAGTCTCACTCCTCAGGAAGGAGAACTCGGAGATACAGAAAAGGAATTCCACTAGGAGCCACTATCCACCTGGGGTGAGGTTTAAGTGCATAAAATTTTGAAAGTTCAGTGCCATTGATCCTGGATTAGAATTGAAAGGCATGCTCCTTGGAGCCTGGCTTACATCCAGAGAGATGGCAGTAAGCTACAAGCCAGGAAGAGAAGCCTCACCAGAAAGTGGCCAAGATTACACCCTGGTCTTGGACTTACAGTGGAAAGTCTCCCACTCTGTATTTCTAGTCTGCTATATTACTGCCAAGGGAAGCGTAAGAACCACGCTTCTGAGATATGTTTGTCAGTTTGCTCCTTTCTGCCCGTGGACGCCGCCGAAGAAACATCATTAAAGTCTGTCTTCTCCCTGCGATCATGTCTAAGTCAGTCTCCTAAAGAGCCAGAACAGCTGAGGAAGCTCTTCATTGGAGGGCTGAGCTTTGAAACAACCGATGAGAGCCTGAGGAGCCATTTTAAGCAACGGGAATGCTCACTGACTGTGTGGTAATGAGAGATCCAAACACCAAGCGCTCCAGGGGCTTTGGGTTTGTCAGGTATGCAGCTGTGGAGAAGGTGGTTGCAGCCATGAATGCAAAGCCACACAAAGTGGATGGAAGAGTTGTGGAACCAAAGAGACCTGTCTCAAGAGAAGATTCTCAAAGACCAGGTACCCACTTAACTGTGAAAAAAATATTCATTGGTGGCATTGAAGAAGACACTGAAGAACATCACCTAAGAGATTATTTTGAACAGTATGGAAAAATTGAAGTGATTGAAATCATGACTGACCAAGGCAGTGGCAAGAAAAGGGGCTTTGCCTTTGTAATCTTTGATGACCATGACTCCGTGGATAAGATTGTCATTCAGAAATACCATACTGTGAATGGCCACAACTGTGAAGTTAGGAAAGCCCTGTCAGAGCAAGAGATGGCAAGTGCTTCATCCAGCCAGAGGTCGAAGTGGTTCTGGAAACTTTGGTGGTGGTCGTGGAGGTGGTTTCGGTGGGAATGACAACTTTGGTCGCGGAGGAAACTTCAGTGGTCGTGGTGGCTTTGGTGGCAGCCATCATGGTGGTGGATATGGTGGCAGTGGGGATGGATATAATGGATTTGGTAATGATGGAGGCAATTTTGGAGGTGGTGGAAGCTACAATGATTTTGGCAATTACAACAACCAGTCTTCTAATTTTGGACCCATGAAGGGAGGAAACCTTGGAGGCAGAAGCTCTGGCCCCTACGGTGGTGGTGGCCAATACTTTGCCAAATCATGAAACCAAGGTGGCTATGGCGGCTCCAGTAGCAGCAGTAGCTATGGCAGTGGCAGAAGATTTTAATTAGGAAACAAAGCTTAGCAAGAGAAGAGAGCCAGAGAAGTGACAGGGAAGCTACAGGTTACAACAGATTTGTGAACTCAGCCAAGCACAGTGGTGGCAGGGCCTAGCTGCTACAGAGACATGATTTAGACAAATACTCATGTGTATGGGCAAAAAACTCGAGGACTGTATCTGTGACTAATTGTATAACAGGTTATTTTAGTTTCCGTTCTGTGGAAAGTGTAAAGCATTCCAACAAAGGGTTTAATGTAGATTTTTTTTCTTTTTCTTTTCTTTTTTTTTTTTTTTTTGCACCCGTGCTGTTGATTGCTAAATGTAATAGTCTGATCATGATGCTGAATAAATGTCTTTTTTAAATAACAAAAAAACAAAAAGAACAACACTTCTGTTCTTAACCTAAGCGCTCCTCTATTTAACACGGAGCTATTAAGGATCTTCATTCAGGACTATATGCAGAGTTAAACAGTACTTATTTTATGTTAAACCATGCTTATGTTCACTTTTTTTTTAAAACTAATTGCTAAGGTCTGTGTATTTTTTATGTCCCACTCCCTTCCCTAAATTTAATGAGATATCAGTTTAAAACCTGAAAGACTGTGGGAGTAAAGATAAGATTTTACTTCTAATTGCCGTGGAAGGTCATTTAAGAGGAAAGGTAAGAGTAAAGAGTTGATCATGTAGACGGAGATAAAGTCAACAATGTGTGAAAAAGGAAGAATTAGGTTTAAGTACAAAACACAAATAAGTGGCTTAGAGTAGAGGTATATTTGTGTCTCCCAAAGCAATGCAGAGTTAAACTGTCCAGGCTGGTATGGTGGTTCTGTGATGATCACAGATCCCAGCTTCTTCTATCTTCCATTCTGAAGATTACCTCATGGTCCAACATGGCAACTGGAGATCCAGCCATAAAATGTCCACATTTCAGACAAAAAAGAAAAAGTTGTGAGATGAGAGTCTGAGGAAGCACACAGGACATGCCTCCCAAGAGTTAGCTCATAGAAAAACTTCCCTGAGGGCATTGTCAAATGACTTCTGCCTATAGCCCCTTGGCAACCCCTAGCTGAAAAGAACAGGAATGCAGTACATGAGTTGTGTACCCTGTCACATATGAGTTCTATAAATATGGAAAGGACAGTGGATACTGGGTAGTGCACTGATCATGTTTATTTTCTGTATTTTATGCTCTGACACTTTCAGGCCTTGCAGACCCAGAGAGGGCTTGCCCTCCCAAGGGTAGCTAATTCCTAGAGTTAACAAACAACTTGCCTGAGAAAACACCTTTGACAAGCAAATCAGCCAATCCTGAATCCATACTGCCCCTCCCCATCTACCTGCTTTGCTTAGGAGGTAGAAAAGGAGTCCAGGAAACTATGACTTGCCTTCAATCACTCCAGGGCCAGGCACCTGATAACTAGGTTATCTAGGGACCATCTCGAGAGCCTGGAGCCTGCCGAAGTTATTCAAACTACCCAATTCTAAACTTGCTCACCAGTGCCTTACTCAGTGCATCCCTATGAACAATACAACGAAGGCTCTGACTTGTGCTTTCCCCCTCCTTCTTCCTCCTGACCAACTCCAGTGTTTCCCTGAGCAGCCCCGCAGGGCACAGCATGTCACCTCCTATTGGGAACTGTAAAATAAAAGACTCTTCTTTCAAAGCTGTTGTCTCTGTGTCTATCATCTTACCATACATGATTAAAGCAAGTCCCAGGTACATCTTAGAACAGGTGGGCAACTGGAAATCTCTTCTAAAATATGGTTTTCTAAAACAGAAAGCTGGAATCTACAACAGAAAGCTAGAACATTTTAAAGTTGTCTCACAGCCAGGCATGGTGGTTCATGCTTATCATCTCATGGACACAGGAGGCCAAGATGAGAGGATTACTTCCAACCATGAGTTTGAGGCTGCAATGAGCTATGATCGCACTACTGCACTCCAGCCTGGGCAACAGAGTGAGACTCCATCATACATACATATGTTATAAATAAAGGATAAATTTAAAAATTAAAAATAAAGAAAATAAGTTATCTCATAAACCCATTTATAATGTGTTTGGCAGAAGAAAAAGAATAATCATTCTTGTGTCATCTTCTCTTCTGAGCTCCAGACTAATATAATCAATACCCTGCCAAGTATTAGAAAGTCTACAGATAAACCATATTCAAAACTAAGCTCATTATCTTTCCCCCTCTCAACTCTCCTCCCATATCCATGTTCCATAAACTCAGAAATGAAGTGCTACCATCCACACGTCTCCATGCAGGAACCTCAGAACAACCTCTGTAAGGCAATTCCTCTTGGCAATAGTGGTTGTGTCCCCACTAGATCTTGGGCAGAAGCTATACGCGATTCTCCTCAGCATCTTTAACACACAGCCTAGCACAGGATCTGGCACAAAATTGGTACACAATTAATATCTGTCAAATCAATTTGAATCCCAAACGCCCCTCAAGTCACCTCTCATCCCCACTTACTAACCTTTCTAGGCTTATTACAGAGCTTCTTAACTGCTTCTAGGCTTTCTCCTTCTAGCCCTTCACTCTGTCTTTGCCGTTCTCCTTCTAAAGCACAATTCTGATAAGAAATGTCCCTGTTTTCCCCTAGAAGAAAACCTAGGCAAAACCATTCAGAACATAGGCATAGGCAAGGACTTCATGAGTAAAACACCAAAAGCATTGGCAACAAAAGCCAAAATAGACAAATGGGACCTAAGCAAACTCCACAGCTTCTGCACAGCAAAAGAAACAATCATTAGAGTGAGCTGGCAACCAACAGAATGGGAAAAAAATTTTGCAATCTACCCATCTGACAAAAGGCTAATATCCAGAATCTACAAAGAACTAAAACAGATTTACAAGAAAAAAACAAACAAGGCCATTCAAAAGTAGGCAAATGATATGAACAGATACTTTACAAAATAAGATATGTATGAGGCCAACAAACATATGAAAAAATGCTCATCATCACTGGTCATTAGAGAAATGCAAATCAAAACTATATTGAGATACCATCTCACGCCAGTTAGAATGACGATCATTAAAAAACCTGGAGACAACAGATGCTGGAGAGGATGTGGAGAAATAGGAACACTTTTACACTGTTGGTGGGAGTGTAAATTAGTTCAACCATTGCGGGAAGAGTGTGGCAATTCCTCAAGGACCGAGAAACAGAAATTCCCATTACAGGGTATATATCTGAAGGATTATAAATCGTTCTATTATAAGGACACATGCACACGAATGTTCACTGCAGCACTGTTTACAATAGCAATGACTTGGAACCAACCCAAATGCCCACTGATGATAGACTGGACAGGGAAAATGTGGCACATATACACCATGGAATACTATGCAGCCATAAAAAACAATGAGTTCATGTCTTTTGTAGGGACATGGATGAACCTGGAAACCATCATTCTCAGCAAACTGACACAAGAACAAAAAATCAAACACCGCATGTTCTCACCCACAGGTGGGTGTTGAACAATAAGAACACATGGACACGGAGGGGAGCATCACACACTGGGGTCCGTTACGGGGAACTAGGGGAGGGACAGTGGGGGGCAGGGAGTTGGGGAGGGATAACATGGGGAGAAATGCCAGGTACAGGTGATGGGGAGGAAGGCAGCAAACCACATTGCCATGTATGTACCTTATGCAACAATCTTGCATGTTCTTCACATGTACCCCAAAACCTAAAACGCAATAAAATATATTTTTTAAAAAAAGAAAGAAAAGGCCCTGATTTCAAACCTTCTATTGCTCCCCATTGCCAAAGTTCTCTGAAAGCTTTCAAGGCCCTTTACTATTTAGCCCGAACCCACTTTCCATGCCTCACCTTTGATGCATAAATTTTTGTTTCTGTATC